GTTGTTGTTGTTGTTGTTGTTGTTGTTGTTGTTGTTGTTGTCGAAAAAACTCCATTAAATGGTAATAAATCCCCATGAGTGAATATACATAAATATTAAAGCGAAGCGAATCGTTGATTTTGGAAGAATTTAGGTAAAGAATTCACCCGATGAGGATGAAGGTATTCCAAACAATGCGGGGTTACTGACGATAGACTTTTCTGCTACGACCGCAGATGGTGCAACAGACGAAATGGAGAGGGCACGCAAGGCTAGGGAGTTTCATGAGAAACGCAGAAGACACTATAATGAGATGCAGGTACTACGGGGGGGAGTTTTATGAAAAAAATTTGATAAAAAATTGTAATTTCGGATGAATAATGAGATTAGGCGTATTGTTGTGAGAAAGGAAACTTCTTTTTTTTTCGGGATGGTATGGACGCAGTTTTGGAGGAATATATGTTGGCGTCAGTCAACTGAGCTTAGGAGTTTTCTTGTTGATTTTAGAAGTTTATATGCGAATTTGGGTAGGAATAATAATTTCTCTAGATTTTTACAGAATTTTCATATTCTAACCAACACATGTAGTTGACCATATGTATATTTTCTGCCACATTGCCGAGACGACTGTTCTAGGAGGGTTTCTCCCGTTTCACGTGAAGTGGCGTAATACTCGGTGAAAAACTGGCTATATTGGCGGTGATATGCAGTAGTCGTGAAATATGTTTTTCACTAGTGTTTTTTTGCATATCACTAGGGTGGTGAAACTTCACCGTGAAGTTGATAAAAGATTGAAAGATTGAAGATTGAAAATCGTCGGAAAAAATTCTTCCGTGTGAGATTTTATTCAGAAGTGGTTTGTGGAACGATTTATATGGTATGACTTGGGTGAATTGTGGTATCGAAAATTTAATTTTTTGTTATTTTTTGTTCTGCTATCAGATGGTTCGAGCACTCCGTGAACAAGGGCGGCTAGAGGCCTCTGAGGAGGATGAGGACGACGACGAGTTGGATAGTAACTCTGCTGAGAGAAATGGAAATCGTAAGGAGAATTGTCGACGATGAAATGATGGAGTATTGGTAGTTAAGTATAGTTTCAATTATTACGGATGTCGGAGTTGCATTAAAATGGGTATGGGAAATGTTTTGTGGCGCGCGGTAGCCCGATTTTCCCAATTTTGGAAATATTCGATATGAAAATGTGGAGAATGCTGGTGATCTCGCAAGGTGGATGAAAAGTAGATCTGAAACTATATTTATCGCAGGGATAATGTTCACATTGCTATGAACATGTTCAAAAGGAAACCTTTCGAGACTATGATAGCGACAAGTTGTTCACTATCATTAATCCCGGAATAGAAAACGCACATTGTTCACATTTGCACAAACTATATTGTTACGCATCTGCTAATGTAAATTTCTGTCGTCGTTGATATTTTTATTTCCAAACTTGAGGATTGGGTTTTTCGTTGACTTAGAACTGCGTTGGTGGTATGAAGATCAGAGACATCTAGTCGTGTGCACTGAAAGAAGCCCTGAGGAATTATTTTGGTCGTTTCCCGAATTTTTCAGAAAATTTTTCATCGGGAATTGTGTTCTATAGATTTTATTGTTATTACGTATAACAATAACAAGCGGAAACTTATTGCATTGTATGTGTATGGTTATTCATTTCACTCAGTTCTGTTACCTCGATGATGTCGGTGCCTAGCCACCTATATGCAGCTAGTAGTTCTCCAGTGACGATACCGAGTCGGCCGGCTCAGCTCAGCAGCTCTACCACGCCAACCCCAAATGATGTTAAAAGGATGGCTGAGGAAGTATGGTGAAATTATTGGGAAGATGTTTGAGTTTTTGAAGTTTTTCGAAATTTTTCGCCAAAATTTTTTCCCTGGGAATATTGTTTCTACTATGTTCATACTGCTCGGATGGTTTGGTAGAAAGCGCCAGAAAAAAAAAGAATTTCCTTGAAGTTGATAAATTACAAAAAGTGTAGCAAAACGTGGAATCGAAATGATGATGGCATTGTTGGAATACTATGTCTGTTGCCCACAAACGCTGCAGCAGGAGTACATGCAATTTGAGCTACTACATTGGAGTTTCACCCGTTTAAGGTGAACTGGTATAAAACTCGGTGAAAAACGCGATATTCACACTACGCAGTAGCCGTGAAATATGTTTTTCACTAGTGTTTTTCATATCGCGGGTGAAACTCCATTGTATAATGGAGTTTCACATTTCACTTCGTGAAAAACGCATGTGAGCAGTGAATTTCGCGTAAAACGGGTGAAACTCCAATATTGTATATAACTGTTGGGCATGGAAAAACGAATCGATCTCAGTTAGGGAGGTTGTCCGGTAGTAACATTTTTATCCTGGCTAATACGATATTACGCAAGGTCGCGTACAAAAGCCTGGGATTTTCAGTTGTGTGTTGTTGTATGGGGGAGTTATAAAACACGTACACTATCAAGTAGATTAGCATATAACTGTGGGGTAAAATTCTTTGAATTGCTGGTATGATGAAAAATTTTCAATTGTCATTTTTCGCGTGCCTCGAAAGAGTTGTATTATTATCGTCGTTAGGCTATGTTGACATCAGCTGATCGTGGAGCTGCTCGGGATCCTTCCTCAGTGGAAGCAGCTAATGAAGGGAAGCCAACGTCACTGGGCTTGTCACTATTCCGAAAGCAAGGGTATGTCATTGGAAATCTACGGAGGGAGTGGTTTTAGTTTTAAGGATAAATTCGTCTGATATAGAAACGTATGGAAAGAATAAAATAATAGAGTTTCACTACCCTAGTGATATGAAAAACACTAGTGAAAAACACATTTCACGACTACTGCATACCACCACGAATATCGCGTTTTTCACCGAGTTTTACGCCACTTCACGTAAAACGGGTCGTGAAACTCAAATGAACACATATTTATAGATTTTTATTTCTGTAGGGAAAAAGGTCCGCCGATGGTAAAAATATTATTCGTTCATCACGATATTCGTTTTGGAGTCACTTCGTGACATAGTTGTATTTGTCATAGAGCTCGCACAGGAGAAGTATATGTTCGCTCTCTTCAGCGGAGCTTAGGAGCCTCCAAAGCTACATTATAAAAATGCACGATTTCGGGTAGAAGGGTACGAAAACCAACGGAAATTTTCTAAATTTTTCCTCGAAATTTCGATAGTTGAACATGTGCATATTTTCCCACTAGTGTTATGTGTGGATCGACATATTCTTATTTTGATGATGTTGTAGGTATTTGTTAAAAGAGAGCAGTGCTTACTTCACACAGTGGTTGGAGAGGTAATTCAAAATTTCGGAGGAAATTGTTACGATTCCCGACAGTATGGGAATATATGTTTGGTTTCCTCAACTGAGCTCGTAAGTTTCCGCACTATATTATGAAAAATCGCTCGATTTTGGGTATGAGTATACAAAAATCAACGATAATTTCTCAAAATTTCCATATTCCTAGCAACACATGTAGTTGACCATGTGCATATATTTTCGCACCGATTCCCGATTTCTAGCATTCACCGCTTGCTAACAGTGGAGGCGCAACTTCATAATGTTTCACATTGAAGTTTCAGCCGTCTTTCGGGAAGTGGCGTAATACTTTGTGAAAAAACGCACTATGAAGTAGTCGTGAAATATACTTTTCAGTAGTGTGTTTTATATCACTAGGGTGCTTCACACTGGAGTTTCAGCCGTTTCCCGCGAAGTGACGTCATAGTCTGTGAAAAAGGCGATATTCGCGGTGATATGCAGTAGTCGTAAAATACATTTTTCAATAGTGTTTTTCATATCACTAGGGTGCTTCACACAGATCCTTTAGGGAAATAGTATTCTCTCTGCATATCCGAATGCAATTTCTCATTATTCAGATATGTCACGTTGGAAGGTCCAATGCTAAAAGTATTCACCACAGCAGCGCACCACCAACCACGGCAAAGTGTCTTCCTTGGTCGGGTTGCGGTAGAGGGGATGTGGACGGCGAAGGAAAATGATGAAGTAAGTCCTCTTGATGTGTGCGCAGATCAGGAATTCCTAATACGTCAATGAAAATGGCGTTTGAGCTCTGTGTGGGGCTAATGGGAATCTATGTTTTGTATATGGGAATCATTTTAGTATTATGTTGAAGGGAAAAGCTGAAAAATAACATTTTATTGTGAATATCGGGTCATCAATTGTGGTGAGTCCGAAGTAGGTTGGAAATGTATAAAACTGTTCATGTTGATTTACTATCGATTTTCTTCTCGGAAGTTGTTCATAGTGTGAAGGAATGACAGGGCGCCGACTTGAAAAGGGCCCTGCTCTATAATTTTTCATAACCAATGAGCGCTGTATATCGAGAACAATATAGTTGAAGATTGATTCCATAGGAAGAGGAAATTGTCCAAGTGTACCTCAGGACGGCTATGGTGAAGTCTGGTCCTTTGTCATTCGATGGCCACCCCCACCGGTTAGAGGGCATTCTGATGATGGTAGGTAGGGGGGGGGGGGGGGCAGGTAGCGTTGCACTGCTTTGGACTTGATTTTGAAGGGAAAAAGTAGTGGCTGTTTAATCACAAAATGTCACAACTAGGGTATTGCGTGCCTTCTGGAGGAGTAAGGGGTATATTATACTTACCAATGTTGGAATCTATTGAGTGAAAAAACTGTGATCCTGCGATATGATTCATCAAGTAGGGTATACTGGAGTTTCACTCGTGTTTCATTTAATGCAAAATGTGAAATTCTCTATGTGAGCTGAATGAATGAATATGACATCATCTCGACAGTATTTACTCCGTGTCCACTTGTGGGAGAACGGGAGGTTGACTGAGTGATACACAACTTCATCGTGAGGGAATATCCTGACGAATGAAGGAGTCCTTTGATGTTTTTCATTTGTCGGCAACTATAGTGAGCAAATCTCCAGCGGGTCTATCTATTCTAATTGCACTCATGAGGAGTTATTAATTCCGTCGGTACTGCGATGCCGTTGTAAGTGAAGCGATAGCCCAGTGTCACCGAGAGCTGTTGAGTATTATTCTTTTTACGACTAGGTTTTTTGACTAAAACGTATCATTGGTGAGTACATTTCCGTTTGTTGTTGTTGTTATAGGTGTAGCGTCGGAATCAGCGTCTTGGCCAGCACCATCGGAGTTGGAGTTTTTACATATTGGCAGTTATGATGAGCAAGAATGTGAAGAATGGTTTCGGGCAGTGAAGCAAGCTATCATATCTGTTGATAGAACGTAAGGGGATAGGCTTCCTCTGTGACTCGCGGAGTGCTCAGTGAAATTTCGCAAGTGTGTGGATGAGCGTTGTACTGCATATACACATTCTCAATAGCTCGATACATGCATTTCGTAGGGATATCAATATCGTCGGAAAAATGCAGAGGTAGACTAGAAGTATTTGTTGAGTAACCATCATGACTGTAGCATAGTCGAGATGGGAACCCGACACGCTTTTTCTATGTGTTGCTGTGAAAACGGCATCTATCACACTTTTTGTAGTCGGAAATTGCCGAACTAAGCAATGAACGGGAATGGTGTCTATGGTTTCGGGAAATGAGTGCTAGTCGTGAACTATGCCACTATATGTGTTACTGCATTTGTACTAATATCACTGGGAGTGTCAAAAAACCTATGAGGAACTCTAAAGATAGAAGGCTAGTGAATATTGAGTTGACGCCAGCCTCGCTCAGATATCGTATTCAGTGTCAATATAGGCAGCGACGTTTATCGAGTGGTGATGGTCAGAGGTATGATACCGTCACAACTGGCGAGAGTGAAATCGATATGGTATCTCCCTTTGTTGTGAAAGGTTCTCAGCTTGCCGTGTTGGTCAGATCCAGAAAGCCTTACCTGAGAGGCTGCGAAGTAAATACGCTGTTGCTTTAAGTGACGCTGGAAGAGTGGATACATGGGAGCCTGTTTTTGCTGGTCGGGGATCTCACATTTCTGTAAGCTCCGTATCATACATCTTTCCGAGGTCTGCTCTGTTCGACGGCCCATGAGGTTCTCCGATTGGTGAAAATTGAATATATAATTATATAATTATTGAGGAGAGTTTCCGCATAGCTCTGGGTTGTTCGATTTTTTCTGTGGTGAAAGATCACTGCTTGATAACACGGTGATGTACTCTTGATAGGAAGAGGTAAATTCGAGAAGGAATTTTTCCTCGAGCCTTTGGGGTTTTTGTTGATTTAATCTCATCTCCATTAGTCCCAATGGATGTTCGGGAGTTTTCTGTGGAGGAATTTCGGAGTCTCGTCACTTTTGAATGACAAGTGATTGCTGAAGAATTCAACCTAGAATTGAAATTACCATTGTGATGAAGTCTGGCAGATGTCGTGTTGGAATGAGGAGAATAATATGCGGTTCGCAATTTAGTTTGGAAATGCCGGTTCCTATTTTTTCAGGTTAAAAAGCAGTCACGCGGCACGAAGCTTCGTCTGGTTCAGCTCATTGACGGCTTCAATAGTGATAGAGTGTGGCGGGAACTAAAGGAGGGCTCGTTTGGCTCGTGGATGTCTAGAATTGACGGTTGTTACTACCAACCGATCACCACGATAGCATATGATGATGGTAAGTTAGATTCCGAATCTAAGATTCGCTTCTATATCATCATAACGGATTAGCTCACATCACCCTGTGGTTGGTGCTGTGAGTGGGATAGAGCGCGCTCTTTGCGGAACATCTACCATTGTTGAGAAAATAGGGACAAGCTGACTTTGAATTCCGAGTCGTCAGATGAGGCATCAGGCTCAGCCTGAGAAGGTATGCGCGATTTCTGTGTACGTGCGGACGCAACACTGATGTAATTTCGATTTTTTTCGCGACCTTTTGTTGGTGGCACGAATGTGAAATGGAAGATGTCACCATCTGAAGGCGAGAACGGATTCGGTTTTGAGCCTGTGTATCCAAAAGCAAGTTTCATCGGTATCGCCATGGGTCTCTCACGACTTCACCATGAAACATCAGTTGGCCACAGATGAGCCTGTCTGTAGCAAACAGTTGGCTCCCTAGCATCGTCCTGGTCTCTTTGCTAGAAAACGAGTCGTGAGTTGTGAATCGTCTCCGCGAGTCAGTTCGTGACAGCAGCTGTGCAGTTAGTGACAGCAGCTGTGCAGTTAGTGACAGCAAATCAGTCAATGCTCCTTGGGTTTATACTAACCTATGGTCTACAGTTCCTGAGATTGGTTTTGGAATCTCTAATTGACTGCGATTCCCTGAAGGTATCATTATATCCGAGCTATACAGGCTGGTTGGCGGTCAACCACAATTTCAGGATTGACATACCATCTCAAAAAATATCTTCGACTACTGAGTACTGTCTCCGCTTGACTCCTGAACATTGCCACAGCATATACGGAAGATCACAGTAACAGGGTCTTGGTTGAACACATGAGCCTCCACCGTATTAGAAGGGAGGCCAACGAACTTGCTACTACCGAACACAGATTCTGAAATCAATTGCTTGACGTATTCAACTTGGTGGGAATTCAATGGCTTGCATTTATCTGTGCCATCGAGAGTACACGACGGCTTCCTGAGACGAACTGTGGCCCATAAAAGCTCATCTTATGTTCGGCAATCAGTTCAGTTCATCACATCCGGGTGGATGAGTTGGATGAGTTGACTTGTGCCTTATTCGTGGCGTTGAGGCACTTTTGAAACCAAAGTTTTTTATCGCATGGTTGTTGTTGCCATAGATACGAGCATCACTACTGACTACGCTAGCTTGTTCGTTGAGGATGAGTACTTTTCGCGGATTAAGATGCATGTGGATTTGGTTCGAGCCCTGATCGATAAAAGAAAGCAAATTGTGGCGACGACCTCGGAAGAATCTTTCGAGGGAGTGGGAAAACGGGTGAGAAAAATAGGAGATGACGTAATTGTTTGTTATGGTGATGGAACTGGAGTACCTCTTTCTTCTGAAGATAGTTTATACTCTGTTGATTTATCGGATGTGGTCTTCAGTTTATAGCACATTGAAAGTGGTTTGTACTCGTCACACTCGTTGATGACGGGGTTGGAATTTCTCATCCTGTTTTTGTCGCTTAGGTTGAAGTGGATTATATGTTTTGGACAGTCGAAGATCTACCGAATGGTCGTGGCAGTGCGATAACGTGTATTGTAAGTATCGCTCCGCCGGAGAACCAAAAAGACATTTCGGTCCAACGGGTCATGAAATATCTTCTGCCGAATCTTCGCTGTGCGCGAAGTGTTGTAACTAGGATCTTCAAGGGTAAGGTGGAACAAGCACAATCGATCACGTGATCGATTTTGTCAGGTCGGTATAATCGTTCAGGGAACCCTTTTCATGATGTATGGTTTCGCCATATCTGGAAACTGGAAGATTTCTTAAACAGTGCGGTGAAGAAATGCGACTTTTTACCAGGCAGAAATGGTAGGGAGAAAAATTATTTTTTACGGAAAATGCGTCGTAATAATTTCATGGCGCGGTGAAGATTGCTATACCTGGTTTGACTATAAAGCTCAAGTCCGAGTGGGAATAGTTTTCGTGATACCTTGGGGATCTTTGCATGGATTGAATTTCATAAGGTTGGCATCGATCAGATCCGTGCAGCTTCGAGTATAGCTTAACCAGTGGCAAAGCTCGTGATAGGAAATCAGGTGAGTGAGGCGTATCTTAGGTTGAAGCGGATCACCGACGACTCAGGTTGCATGTCAGGTCAAAAGATATCTGAAACTGAAGAAACGAATAGGGTTCTTGAAATGTATTTTCCCGGAAATTTGGAAAATTTTCCGAAAATTTTCCTGCAGGCAAACGCGCATTGAAAAGACTGCTGCTGAGACTGGCCAAGTATGTCCGACCGAATCGGAGTGCCGACGGTTCCTCGAGGCATCAGGATGGGAGGTGGATGCGGCGTTTGCGAAATTGCGAGGTAGGGCAAGAGTGCAAGACTCGGAGCTCTATCGAGTTTTTAAGAGGACATGTTATGGAAATGTTTCTCCGCTAGAGTATTCTCCCATACATGTATTGGAATTGAACCTTTGATTTCGTAATGATTCGGGCTTACTATAATCGATCACGTGATCGATTTTCCTGTAGATACTCTAGCGTGGCGGTTGACCACTTTCGGGATCGGCCACCCACCACGTGGCATTGATCCAGATTCAATTTCGGCGGAGCGACGCAAAGGTTCACTTTACCTCCGTGGACGAGATAAATTGAAGAGGCCGATTCTTGTCTTCAGAGCACGCCTATATGAACCCCGACAAACAAATTTACTGGAGTATGTGTTGGGATGAACATAAAATCGATCATCAGGGCGCGCGCTTCTTACATTAGGTATGAGAGGTATCTTGTGTACTGCATAGAAAGATGTATATCGAAGTTGGTGAATGAGGGTTCGAAGAAGGAGACCCAGGAGCTGACTGTATTGGCCGATATGAGTGGATGTGGATACAATAATTTCGATGTAGAAATTTTCCGGAAAATTCTGGGAAAATCGGAAAAAACTTTTGACGGGGAAATCATGGATTTACGCCGAGTTATTGACTATTCCCTCGAAGATCGTTTGTCTATTGGATGCCCTTAAACGTATAATACGTTTGGTTTCGGAGTTCAATCACATAGGGGTTCCTATTCTACTTCAGGTTCCTTCGACCAAGTCAGTAGTGAAATTACTAGCGGGTCGATACCCTGGGCGTATTGGATGTGTATGGGTGACGAATCTCAACTGGGCTGGCAAGCAATTTTGGAGCATTGTGGGTAAATCGATCGCGTGATCGATTTGACTTCCTCGCCAGATTCGACCTTTTTTCTCTGAGGAAACGCTCTCGAGGCTACAATTGGTACCGCGAGACGATCCGGTGGGGCATCTCAGTCGTTTTATCGACCCGAAAAATATCCCTGCATTTTGTGGTGGTATCGACTCCTATGTGTAGGGTGCCGGAATCGAACCTGTGCGCGTTTGATGTCAGCTTTCAGGTACAGTATAGAAAATGACGACCTGTTCTCTGATGACGAAGAAGTCATTGATTGAAATTCACGGATCTATCAAGTGAATCGTATATTATTGTAGCGATTTTCCGACTTGATATCGATCGTGTGATCGATTTGTGTTATTGCCCGTAAACGATAGTCTGGGATGTGTTATCCTCGTCTATTTCCGGAAAATCATGGGGAGTTTTGGATTTTTCGTGAGATAATTTATTTTTTTCCATAAATTTTTACACTGGGTTGAAATATATTTCGGGAGTAATACTCTTGATTACGCCAGAACAGTACTTATTCACGCGAGTTTTATATCCCTTATCAAGAAGATAGCCAAATCGTGGATATACTATGCCAGCGAGAGATCGAAGACGACTGAAAGTGTCTGTACGGGGAATCGAACTCGGGTTCAAAATGTGCACCTTGTCCAGTTGTTGTTGACACTTCTAGAGCATGGATCTCTCTACCCGTACAGAGCATCTCCTGACGAGAGTGCTCAAAGTTACGCTTGATCCGGAGGCTGCGGCTTCCCATAAGGATCTCGACCTGGTTGTAGTGGAGGGGACAGCAGGCCCTTTAAGGGTGGATATTGTAATATTTGGAGTATCGAGAGAAACCTCTTTCGTTTGTGTTCGGAGGAGTTTCTGTACTGGGTACCTGGAAAATTCCGAAGATTTTAAGAAAAACCGGGAAACAATCCGAAAAATTTTTTCCTTGTCTCGCTGGCAGAAAATGCAACAGTATTGGTTCGAAATTGTGGATAAAAATAGAATGATTCTTGGATTTCCGATCATCGTGTTAAACACGACGTGTTTTCCGAGCATTACGATCTGCTATATTGAGTAGCGCGTATTTGCCCAGGTTTGTATTTTGCATGCGTTAGTTTTGTGCATATCGAATTTTGTGGACTCTTTTTCCTCAGCTTGACGAAGTTTTCGTCGCTCGCCTGAGCCAATTGAATACCCTTGGTGCGCAGTTGACATATATGGTGGAGGTTTATAATAGAATTGAGGATGAGGCTAATCGATCATATCGTGGAGATCTGCAGGAGAAGATACATGAGGCGGCGGTAGGGAAATTGGTATCTTGCAATCTTACAATTTCTCAACGCGGTTGTATTGACGATTGTTTTCCTGGGAGAATGAGTGTGTAGTCTTCTAGCGAGCTAATAGTATAGGCAGACTTTAATATTCTTGGACAGCGTCGCTAGATCAGTGAAGGTTGGGAAAATTGGAAGATTGGAATACTCTATTGGAAGTCTTTGGACAGGATTTTAGTCCTCGACAGGTGTCTAGTTCGATCCTTGCTGTATGTATTCATCCTCAGATTAAACCTCTGCGCGAATTTCATATAAGATATCTATCGATGGTTTTGCAGTGTCCAGAGCTTTTCGGAAGGCCGGCTACTGAACTTTATGTTAGCGGAGCGAAGTTGGCGGAATTTGTAATAATGAGAGGCATCAAGCCTTGCTTGAGATACGAGCGACTATTAGGATCGTTTTATGGGTTGCATGTTTTGTTGAATCACTCAACTTGAATGTCGTCGTGTATCTCAGGTTAACCTTGGGCAGATGCCGATGACGCTTCTGGTGAAGTTGGTGACGGAGATCAATGATAGCGGAGGAACGGAGGTGGGAGAAAGGGACATAACTGTGTGACCTGTGATGGGCGTAGCGATAATGAGGATTGGGGAAATTGGCATTGGTAAATTCCTAAGTTTGTTTGATGCGTTTCGGTCCAGCTCGGCCACATATGTTTGCTCACGATCCAGCGTCTTTAGAAGGCTACTTATAGGTGCTTAGTGCCGCATTAGATTTGGAATAGATCGAGAGAGATATTTTATATCATCTCAGGCCCTATCACCGCTGGTTTTACCTGTAGTAGGCAGTTGGACGAACAAGATTATCCAGGAACGGGGCCATAGTCTTCATCAGTGTCTAGCGGTATGGCGGGGTTTTGATAGGGGAAGGATGATGGAAGCTCTATTAGGTGTCTGAGGCAGCTAAGCTTGGTATGCTGATGAAACAGCAAAAGGTTGTCGCTGAGTTGGTTGTGAGCTTATCGGGCATGTTTCGTATCTTTCGCGGACGACCTGAAGATATTTTCAGACATCGTTGCCAGTTTGGTACACGGAGCCTCCTCCGGCACCAAGGATGCCCAGCGATCGAAGACCACCGCAGAACAAAAATGCGTAGATGCAAACAGTTAGAAATGCGATCGCTGCATATTGTATTGTGATAGGTATCATCTGCAGACAACAACCGTTCTGGGCAAGATGCTCTCACCAAGCGCAATCGATCACAACTTGTTGGATCCTCAGGAGGTAGGGCACGATTTTGGAGAGGTGCGATACGGAAAGCATCTTTCTTAGTTGCCGAAATCAGTGAAGCGGCAGAATTTCAACATTTCGCGCATGTCACTTGCTGGACTTGGGCAGCAGATCAATACGGTAAGCTAGCGCTTCCGGTGTCAACTTTGTATAGGAAATCACGTTTGGCCAACACGGATCATGAAGTCGTTAGAGTTCCTAGATCAATTGTTGACTTATTGAGACTTCCCCGATCCCTTTTTCAGGCTTCTAGCATTGCATTGTAATCGCATACGAGGGTATTCAGGTTCGGGCGCAACAAACGGCAGTTATCGACCAGACGTTGCAGATCGTTCAACCGGCCCTGAGAGCGAACCAGGCAACTCGAATGAAGGTAGGAGAGATATATTTGATTCCACAGCTCGGACTATCCATTTTACATGGTGACGGTAATCCTGTTCATGGGGGAAACGGTAGTCGAGGCTGTGTGCGCCAGTTTGTTACGCATATCATCTTTTGCCGGACTCCTTGTTCGTACGATAGTGGTGTCGTACTCCTATCGTGCGAACAAGGACCTCGGATTCGCGTACCACTGTAACGCAATGGATCGAACCTCGAGCGGAATGCCGTAATGGTAGTGTCCAAAATAAAATCATTCTGAGCCTATCAACCGTTCGGAGGAGATATTGCATGGCCTTGCAGCTTTTACTGTCTTCTATCTCGAAGTATGCTACCACCATCCAGGAGCTGTCTGTGGGGGAGTCTACTCTCGACATTGTTTGTTGTCTACACCACGAGGAATAGGACTGTTCCGAACTACATCGATGATCGCGTCAGAAAGTGTACCCGACCGACTGGACTGTACAAGGCAGCAAAACCCGATACTGAGCACTTTGAAGTCACTTGCTGTTCGAAAGGGACCTCAACCCACAGGGAACAAGTCCTCAAGTGCGCTCGAGTAATCATGAAGGTTGATTTCTCGAGGATCCTATGAACAGAGTCAATGTACGCTCGGCGGACTCGACCGATGATCGACTCAGACGACAGCAAGGTCGATGATGGCTGATGATATCATATCGTTGGTATGGGCCGGAACCATATGGGGCAGGGTAGTTTGTCCTGCGCACGTTCACGAGGGCCTTAAGAAGGTTTCGGAGACATGAGAGAACCATGGTGCTTCCTGAGTAGCCCAAGCTTCGCACACGTTGCAGGGTCCTGCGGAATACGAAGTGAGGTGTTTCTTCCCCTGGATTGATCACCACCTGGGTCTGCCAAGCGGAGAATGATTCTGATGCAAGACAACGCTCCGTCTCATACCAGCTTGGAGGCTCTGCTTCTGCCGACTGTTCGTTGAGGATCATTACTAATCGAATTTCAAGCAATGCTCATCCCTATGGGAGTCACAGGTTTGCTCAGATGAATGGTATACGCTGGCGAATTCGACGCAATGTCGGAGCTTGGCAACGAGTCACCGTCTTCAGATTTCGGTGCTAGGAAGAATCAGTAGAGCAGCATGATGCTAAGTAGATTCGTCGATATATTCTGGGTATATATGTGTGATTATTTGCCCTAAACAACCACGCACCAAGATATCGGTGATTCAGCCAGCGACATCATGTTTGTCCCAGGCATTAGCGTCCTGGTCGTGATGACGGCGAGGTGAATATGATGAAACACGCTTTCTCGATAGCAGGAATTCAAAAAAGTCAATCGAGTCTGCCTTTCTGATGTCAGCGACCGACCAATGATAATATCTGCCAAGGAGTCGTTGAGTATTTCCTTCTTTTTCGTCATCCTTTTTCTGAGTTATGGGAATGGTCTCCGGATTAACTTGAGACCTAATTCTAATTCGAGTTTATACTGATGTCGATGAACAGAGTCATATGTATCTTTCGTAATTGAACAGAAGGAAACTGTGCTAATGGCACAGCGCAATTTACCTCACTAGTACTGGTGCTAGTCTTCACCATAGAAAATGAACTTTGTCCGTCGTCAGGTGCTCCTATGGTTAGCATCTGCTCTAACCAACTCCGCCCAACGTGCGACCATAGGTTGGCAGAACCAGAACGCCCCGAATGGTGCCGCTTTGGCTGACCAGTTGCAAGATGCGTCGAGTCAATTACGTAGGTGTCCGTGAGCGCGTTTCACCATGAGGAGTCGCCTTCAAGCTTAGCGTGGAATTTGTCAACAATTTCATTGTTCTTCGTATCGATGGTTTATCGGTTGGTCTGTCTCGGTAATTATCAACTACCGCCGATATTTTCGTGATATTCTGCTGTTTTAGTTTCTGTTTGATAATCTGTTAGATAGAAGTGTTCATGAATGGAAACGGCCGTGAGTCGGACCATCGTTCGGTATCGAATTGGAGAGCATTCCAGCATTCTGTTGACGAATATTTGAGTGCAAACGTTGTTCGAACGCTACATGGAATTCCATGCATCACGGATTGGACCATTCTGAGCAAATGATTATTATTCGACCACTAGTCATGGACATGCATATGGAGAATAATCGTACCATACCTTTAGAAGATTCCTAGGTTGATGAATTTACAGTGCGAACAACACAGTTATGCATATCTAGCTTGCTCTCTACAATTTGAGAGTACGCCTGAAGACAACGGAGCGCTTCTTAAACATCGTCAATGCATTCACAATGTGATCATGTAGATATTACTTCAAGTTGACTTCCGAACTCCCAAATTTTGAAGGCGTTGGAAATATTTCTTTGCATAACGCTTTGCTTTACATTGTACCCCACAGTTTGGTACGGAAACGGAGGAACCCATCCTTTGCCTCTTTTCAGATGGCAATCTTGAACGCTTTCGTCTTTTATCTCAAGGGATGCTGACGAAGATCAAAGGCGTAGGGTGCACCGTGTACACCAAGGGGTGAAAGATTCTGTTTGTATTTAGGTTATGTCCACCGGATGTGGCCTCAACACGGCGTGGATTATATTCGAGTTGTGCTTGCCTATCAAGTTGGAACAGAGTGCCGACATCGATTGCAGTATGATGATCTCGGAGAATCCAGAGGTTAAGACGGTAAGATACGAAACAAGTCCGACAGGTTGTCGTCTATAAACCATAAGCGATTTCTAGATGAACGATAGAAGATGGACTATCATGTTCATCACTCGCACTAGCTACGATAACTTGTTCATGAAAATGATGGAATGGCTCGTGTTTGTCGTTACTTTGTCGACTTTCTGCCAATGTGGCCTATCTTCTGCATCACGTCTAGTGTATGTATTGAGATCATCAACGCGTTATTAATAACGTTGGAATGTCTCTTCAAGAAAAACTAACAAGAGTCTCTCTTGTTAGTTTTTCAGTCGTGTCGAATCAGAAAAACGTGCCATTTTACCGAAGAACATTAAAGTTGTTATCCTTTTGTATTTTCGGTTTTCACCCAAGCCGTTTCCTGTGGCGCGAAAACCATTGATTTACCTCAGATAATGGGTATCCTACAGGAGGAAGCGAAGATGGGCGACTCTGATACCATCGCCAAGATTCCCAAGCCTGACCTTCACCGCGCCTCGAAATTCGTATCTCAGGTCGGTAGGTGCATCAACAAATTCATCACTTGATCCTTTCTTCGTGTGCTTACCATATGTTGTCGGCATCGGTAACTATCGAACGAATCGTAGGGATTAGTTGTGAGCTCCAGTGTGGCAAAGTATGCGCATGGTCAACCACATATGTTGTTGACAATATGAAAATTCGGAAGGAATTTTCGGACGTTCTTGTTGGTTTCTGTACATTTCTACTCAAATCCGTGTATGAAGTCGTATAATAAGCGCGGAAAGTTTTCGACTCAGCTGAGAAAAGCAAGTACAAAATTTCAATACTGGTGAGATTAATTGAAGGTGTGATGGTAGCATAAAATTTAGATATTCTGGCAAGCCGTGCAAGCTCTGCATATCTTCGTCTGTCCAGCATTGAAGGAAGCGGAAACGATGTTGATGGCCGCGTCAGTTTTCCATCAAAAACATAAAATGGATCGTAAGAGGGATTTATCATAATTTTGTGGCGCGCGACAATTTATGCTGTTGTTAGTTATGGCAGATGGATATGCTGAATATCATTGCTACGACTCGGTGGTGGACTCTCCTAGGTGAGAGAGATCTTGCTATCTTGTCGGATCTTACATTTCCTCAACGGAGCATATCGTTCAAGGTTCGTAGAATCCCTGGCCCACTGTATCAACCTCATGATGTCTCTATTTCTCGTGAAAGTGATTCCAGACGATATACCGGATAAGGCGAAACCGGCTGCAAGTAAGGAACCTTTTGTCCGACGGTCTAAGACACACATCATTCCTGTTCAGATGGAATCCCTCAAGGTGTGTATTCACTGAACATAATGAATGATTCAAGCGTGAAGCTTTCGAATGATATGGCGGTGAGCTTCGCTCCGCCCTTTTTTGTATTCTTCTGATATGTTCTGCTAGGTTCTGCCGACGTGCATCATCGACGATATTGTGGAAGTTTTGCACTACTATCGGAACACTTCCAAGGTCAGAGGTCCCGGGTTCGAATCCCACCGCCAGCATTTCTCTTTCAGATCGTTGAGCAAACGAATCGTGGTAACCGTGGTGACATCTTTAACGGTCTTGACTGTGATTTGCTGCTGCTGTTCGTGATCTGGACCCTGGGGTCGGAAAAATGCAAAAACCCTTCTGTTCGAGGGCAAGCTGCTAAGGTGAGAAGTTTGGAATTCGTGGTATAGCAGGTTTGAATTTTCGCGCGGATCTTTTTCATAATTTATGTCATTAAATTTTTTTGTGCCTCAGGTATTGAAGTCGCTTTCGAAGCAGCCTCGTTATGCTCGCCAAATAGAGAATGCCGACTTTTGCGTGGAAAACATCGTCCCGGCGTGTATCAGGTGAGGAACGCATTTTTCAACGTTCTAGGCCCTCCACGATTCCTCCCAATCTGGTTGGATCAATGTTCTCTCACGATTGGTGGGGTTTCCCACTTTATTATAACCATAACTGCATTGGATCATTCGTGTAGAAAATGCGGTTCATATTATGAGTTGTGGAGTGTGTTTCTGTTACGAGTGGTCTTCATACTAAAAGTGTAAACTTTTCCATTGATACTTGAATACGTTATTGTCTTTCGTTACTTTTTTTCATCATTTGGCCGTTCTTGCGCGTCTTTTTCGAGAGTCGCGAAACGTTTCATTTTTCAGAGTCTTCACTGCCGTGGAAAAAACAAAGCAGTCGTATTATGATATCAGGATGCACGTCAAATTCGAGTTGAGGATACCTATACAGAAGTTGTTCGAACAGGTGGGAATCTTATGCAACTTTTCTATTGGTTATTCTCTCGCAAATCACTTCCATCATCAGTAGTGTGATAAAATTGTCAACATTGTCAACCACACATGCTGGTGCCAAAATGGAAATTCTGAGGAAATTATGGGAGATACTCAACTACTTTTTACTCAGACTCGTATATGAACTTCTATGATTAGTAAGGAAACTTCTTAGCTCAGTTGAGGAAAGCAAACATATATATTTCCGCACTGATCATCAGAAATCCACTGATTCTGTATTTCAGGTCCTACCGTTGCCGAAGCATCGAGCTCAGTTGCAGACCTTCGCAATCGAGCAATCTGAAGAGTTCTGCAAATTCGTTAACCAGCTCTTGAACGATACTACCTATCTTCTCGATGAGGTAACGGAGATCCCGGGTTCGATTCTCGGAGGCGACATCAAGTCTACGATGGCGAGCTATTTGAGCCGTCTATCTACCCGAGTGGTCGGGTTTGGTTACTGGTTATTCATGAGAATATAGGAGATGATAGCGGAAGAAATTTTTTGAAATTTGCAGATCTGAAATTCTAGGGCGTGCGCAATTCGTGGTATCGCGTTGCATCTTTCCTTAGGGACTGGATTCTCTGACAGCCATACGAAAGCATGAATCACGTAAGTTGTCATTGGCTCTGCTTCGCTCCGTCGGGACTGTGGAAACTTTTAGATCAAGCTGCTGGTAGCAGTGATGAACCTATGGAGGGGACGGCAGGGCTCGGAGGTGAGAAAAAAGGAGCATGTGATTTGATGACTATTGGTGGTTATATTCAGTCGAAAGAGGAATTGACGAGGAGGATGAGGTTAACGGCGAAGATATGTAGGGAAAATGACAGATGCCGGGATCGAACCCGGCTGGTCAGGTATCGAAGATCTCGTACGGACGCGAAGGCTCATTGCAAGCAGTACATGAGCATGGGTCATCAGACCGTCAGTACTCTGCATGCCATGTGTAAAGAAGCTGCTAATGTCATCTTGGATGATCGGGTTGGGTGCCTCGCCGGAACGCTGTTCTGAATTCTCAATGCCCCTAGGTGGTGTTGGAACAAATGCTCACATCGTGCCTTGATCCCTGTATTGATCGCCTGGTCGGTCCGAAGTGCCTTCAACTGAAGGGAAAAAGCTACGACTTCAACGAGTAAATTGGAGTCGTTGTGGTAGCATAAGAATATTCGGTCAGGTACAACTTCGATCCGAAGGACTTGCTGAGGAAATTGGCTGAGATGTAGGTCGCAGGTTCGATCCCTGGTGAAGGTATTTTTTCCAATCAGGTACGTCTATTTGGCACGAGGCGGAGGGATGGAGAAGATCAGTCGTATAGTTGCTGACGACCAGCGATACTACAGTCCACAGACTTTTAATAAGGTGGAGCTGAATCTTGCTCGTCTTGCTCGATCTTGTGTTTCCTCAGGCAGTGACCATTCTGAGGCGCGAACGGTTGTTGGTTGGTGACGAGTTCAACGAATTCGAAGCTTTTGTGAAGCACCTCAATGAAACTGCAGCCAAGCGCGAAGAAGCCATGGATAGTGTGGAGGTAGGTCGTTGAAATAATCCGCTTCGCTCCGCCTTTTTTCGCACCAAAGATACCTGATAATTATCTGGACCCGATTATGGCAGAGGTGATGATTGATCCTGTGAAGTTGCCGGGCTCTGGGCAGATCATGGACAGGAGACATATTGTGAGTGAATCTCTCTATCGATTGGGTGGGAGTTCGTTCTTATGTTAGGTGCGAGTTATCATGTCGGACGATCATGACCCTTTCACTCGGGAGCCATTGAAGTGAGCGTGGGCCGGTTGGGGATTTCCTTTCAACCTTGGAGCGGCCTCCCAGGGTGTTAGGAGTTTACCCGAGCGCTTCAAGGTCGTTAGCATTATCATGCATTCCCATCAGTCGGGATATTCGGTGAACGAATCGCGCAAGTTAGAATGGGTTTTGGACTTGATCCTAACTCCAGAATTGGTTATTGAACATCGTTAATGTTTTTTCGGATTGAATCGGGTGTTGGATGGAATTGTGTTCTCGTTGAGTGTTGATGATTATCATCAGATGATAGGAGTTTGTTACTTGATCAGAGTCGAAGATTTGGAGCCACTGCCAGAGCTTCGAAGCGAGATTCACGCCTTCTGCAAGGAACATAATATAGACTTGGACGAAGAGATGGAATGAAAAGTTCCGCTTTAGTGAACTGTGATGCTTGTCTCGTTTGTTTCTAATCTACATTGCTTTGTGTACTAATCAGTACTGCAGGGGGCATCTTGATCGTACAAAGTCTGTTATTACACAACTCCGCATGGGAATCACACTTGTTCAAGTTTTGTTCGGCCATAAACGGAAGGAAGTAGCTAAGGATTTTTCCTAATAAATTTGATATTATGGCGAAACGAATGCTTCCCGGGTCTCCCACGGTGGCCGCATTTGCCTATAAGGTCCGAATTTAATGTATCACCACTGTAACGTACTATGCCAAAACATATCCCGGGCGCTGGTCGCTGACTCCACTAAAGTCACTTAGTACAGAGAAACCAAAAGTCGTATTCATTCCGTACGATTTGAAACGACGCATGCTCGCGTTTTCTCATGCCAAAGTGACGGTCATGAATATGCAACGTCTACTCGTGCTATGGTTTGGAATGCACATAATGGTCCTGCAGAATGAGGACTTCAAGTGAATATTCTGCCAATCGCAGGCAAGATCGGAAAGAAATGAAGTAATACCAAGGGTCCTTAGCTGGCGCTCCCCCATACAGGTTTCAGGTAAGATCGTGTGTGTGAGTGCTATCCATATTGTGGGGTTTAATCTAGTTAGTTCGTCTCATTAGTCCATGTAAATAGCTCCTTGGACTACCAGTAACAAAAATTCGGGAAGAAGTTGTCATGCACTAGCCATATATCGAGATTCCTACATTTTTCTACCCTTAGCGCAGTTCACCAGAACTGTTCTCTCGACAATCATCTGTTGTACAATACCCCACCCTTCTAACATCAAACGCAAAGCCTACCAGTTGTCGACACTGAAAAAGGAGGGCTAGAATTGAGCGGACATGAGACTTCATACTATCATCACATTGCATGTTATGCAAGTGGCTGAGGCCAACTTAATTATAGTGACTTAATTTAAAATGAACATCTTCTCTTCTCACTCGACTCCTCGTCATCTTCCGCCAAGGAAATGACAGTACTCATTGGCTGATGGCCGCTGGTCACAGGCAGCTCATGCCTGAGGTCTTCCTGTGTCCTCTGGATGTTTCCCGACATGTTCTCCGCCTCCTTAGCTGCAGCTTCGTCATCTTCCTCGACGATCGTGGGCACCCTCATCGGAGTCGCGTAACGAGAGTGAGTTCCAGCGCCGGGATGCGACATTCTAGCCAGGTTGGGAGAAGTGCCAGATTTAGGACCCATGATCTGAAGCACACAAGATCGGAGACTCCCAAAACGAACACGGCTACCGTGATTTGGTCAAGACCGTAATTTCGTCGCTTCCCAGGGGAGTTCTGGTAATTTCCATGAGCCATCACGACATTCATGTGGACTTCTCCTACCATACCATCTCGAACTCTCCTCACCTCGACAAAGCTGTGCACCAACGAGGAGGCCAACAATTTCCTACTTTAACCAAATCGCTACCAGGGATCGGCTCACTCAATATCTCCAACTGCTCTCCAGCTTCCACATGAATCTCCCTGCTGGACATCGGTACGTGCGGCATGGAAGCCTAAGGAAGGCGATGCACACAGCTGTAAGGAATCGCCCTACTACAGCCACAGGCGGTCGCGCATCAGGCAGGCCTCTGAGCGCCTCCCCGCCTTGCGTGATAGCTCCCAGGGGATGGCCACCTAGTGGACGGCAGTCCAGCACAGAGAGAAGAGGTTCTTACCAGGATGCACGGAGGTGATATTCGGATCCTCGGTCTCGGGAATGGCGACGCCAACTGCGTAGATGCTAACGTAGGACGACGGGAACCTTCCGGACTGAAAAGAGGATGTCATTTAACCAAACCGGACCGTTGGCACAATCGACTGAATTCTACGGATAATCGAGATGCTACGATATGTAAACTAATCCCGCATTTACCTCTCCCCGTGAATTTCTCCCAGTCCACCACAGTCCAGTGTCCTCTGAAGACAAGCACCTGCCGATATCAACGCCAGAAGACTTACGAGTAACGAAGATAACATCACCGCGCTCGAATGAGAGCTCTCCGTCTCTCTGACCGACGAAAGAAGAAGTCGCCCTGTACTCGGTGAACTGATCCTTCCCGCTCGCACTGAGGGCGACAAGGAGATGCAGTAATTGACAACTCTGTCCTACTGAGCCTCCAGCACGAGGTAAGCCGACTGCAGCGCGGGGTAGCACATGAGACACTGATCGCGATGACTGATGATAGGCTGATAGTCGGCGGAGAACCATGCAGGACGAGGAGCTGTTGGGCCCGACTGGCACGTCATCTGACATCTTGCTGCAAAAACTTCCCCGATAATATTGACTCACCACAGCTTCCTCAACTGAGCCTCTGAAGTCCAGGGGCAACCTCGAGAGCTCATCGGCCATACGACGATCCATCTTGCGCTGTAGAGAAGCGAGCTCGGCGACAAAATGGGAAATCGCGTCGAAATGTATCTAAAACGAGTAAGCCTCTCAGGGACATGCATCCGCTCGAACTTACGGCGTGGCGACGCTTCAGCATCTCAACTTCTTCCGAGACATCCCTAGCAGATCGATTACTATCTTGTTGCACTTTCTGTAGCCTCTCAAAGACCTTATCAACAGAGCCACTGATCAGATACATTCCGAGACACTTACACGTTGGCGGTCCATCTGAACGCGCTGACCAGAGGTCTCGTATAACTGCTGCAGACGGTCTCTCAGCCGACTCAGTTCTTGTTGGTGGCGCTTGAACACAGCCTCGGCCTTGCGAAGGGCCTGAGCGTTCTCTTGGCAACTGCTCGATGAATGCATTGATCAATACCACAACTTATATCGAGTACGGTGGGATTCCAGTGGATTGTTGATACCATGAGGAGGAGCATAAGGCGGACGAAGACTCCGCCTTAGCACTGTGATACCAAACCGGGAATACACTTCACGAGAGAGAGAGCGATGGAGGAATAGAGATATCGATTCAATGATAATGAATGGACGCAGGGACTCACGCCGTGGCAGGAATGCATGTCTCGATGACGCTTCTTGACATCGGTTGAGATCTCAACGAGCCTGTCTCGAATCTGGCAAGGGAGAGGCTTAAAGCTCAACCAGTAGATGGACGCACCTTCCTCTTCATCTCCCTCAAGTCTTCAGCGGCTTCGATCGTCACCGAGCCCATGATAGGGTTCATCAGAATAAGAGTATCTAAGGACCGTAGTCAAGCAACTGGTGGCAGCATGAGGCGTACTCTCAGGCAAGGTAGAGAGGCCGGCCGCTGACTGTGGGGGGACTCCATCGTAGTTACGAGGAGCGCCGATCTTCCGAAGGGACTTGCAGCAATTCTGGAGAGCCTCAGCACAGGCGAAGTATCTCGTGGAGGACCAAGGGACTCCTTAGTAGACGGAGGAGTGTATACGCACATGTTGATGAAGGCACGGAACTTCATGCGATGGTCGATGCATGTCATCAGGGCTGCATGGAACTCCTCGAACATATCGCGGGCCTCACCAGGGTGTTGACTGAGCTGGCTGGTGTCTCGAGAATCAGGTGTCGGCTGACAGACAGAAAGATACGCGAAGGCAGGAATCGGACCTAATCTGTATCTTGCATGGTCAACCTCCAAGATACGCTAACCTCAATAGGCTCACCGTGGGCGGGCCACCAACCGAGTCCCTGAGGTTCTGCAAGCTCTGCTTAACTCCACTGAAGACGCCCGTCATCATCAAATCAATGCTAACACGATCCTGCCGACTGCGATCTCGCTTACCGTTTTTCCGAAAAAACGCGTCGATCATCTGGGCGCGCGCTTTTTACGTTGAATATCGCATCGAACACGAGGTTGATATTCATCCGTACAGTTGCTGGTTAATGTCGCAGAAATTCACCGAAGCGTTCTCGAAGATTGGACCGCAGTTGGCGAAGGCGATCACGGTTGGAACGGTGGGGATCGGCGGATCGGTGTGGGCATTCCAGAACTGCCTTTTTAATGGTAATAATACGCACAGGTTAGGATGGGGGTATCTTAGGTTGCCTCGTGGAAGATACAGATTAGGCCCGATTGTGGTCCATATCATTTTTCCTCTCTTCAGTCGATGCTGGACATCGAGCCATCAAGTTTTCCAGGATCAGCGGGTTGAAGGAGAATCTTTACAGTGAGGGCACTCACGTGATGATGCCGTGGTTCGAACGACCGATCAATTTTGATATCAGGAGTAAGCCGAGAACTCTGGTAAGCCACCCGACTATCGATTTTGCTGCATATGACTTGGGCGTTTGCTGTAGGTCTCCCTCACTGGTTCGAAGGATCTGCAGATGGTCAGCATTTCCCTACGAACACTATGTCGCCCTCGAGAGGATAAGCTTCCATCAATCTACCGCTACGTCGGCACTGACTACGATGAGAAGGTGTTTGGATATCAACTTTAATGGGTGGATATTTCTATTCCTACCAGGTGTTGCCCTCCATCATCAACGAGGTTTTGAAGTCTGTCGTGGCTCAGTTCAATGCTTCTGAGTTGGTGACTCAGCGAGAGGTAGAGTCTTCTGCTAGCACTTGACAATGTTGGAATATTTCTTCTCTTTCCTCAGATGAGTTTCTCCACGAGTTTTCTTAATAACTATCATATAAGTTTACTCTAAAGTTCGGATAGAATACACAGCAACCAAAAAAAGTTTACCAAAACTTCTTCAAAGATTTCATATTGTCACCAACGCATATATGTAATCATGTGCATGTGCGTATTTTCTTATACACTGTTTTTCAATTGTTGTTCATGGCAGGTTGTTTCGCGTCGTATTCGACAAGAGTTGGTTGAACGCGCGCGTGAGTTCAACTTGATTTTGGACGATGTTGCCATCGTGGACCTCGCCTTCTCACCAGAGTAGGAGGAAATTGTGTTATCATCACCATAGGAATTTTCAGGTACGCCGGTGCTGTCGAGCAGAAGCAAGTAGCCCTGCAACAGGCCGAACAGGCGAGGTACCAGGTTTTGAAAGCGCAGGAAATGAAGAAGAACATCATCATCAAGGCTCAGGGTAGGACATCGCCTCCAATGGAGGGAATTTACTCTAGTATTCTGTTCAGCAGCATTTTGGCGTCGTCGCTGTCAGAAAATGTTGTTTTTTTGTTCGCAGAGGATTGTTTAAGCTGAAGCGAAACGAATTAGAGAAATCTAATAATTGCTTTCACAATCCGGTGGCTAGGCGATAACTAGAGTATGATCATCATACCAAAACCAGACTCACCAGTGGTTATTATTATTGTTATCATGATGATGATGATGAGTGAGTTTCCCTCAGGTGAGATGGAGTCGGCGAAGATGATCGGTTCGGCGATCCAGAATAATCCCGGTTTTGTGGAGTTGAGGAGGATCGATGCAGCAAAGGAAATATCGCATCATATGGCCGTTAGCCGAAATAAGATGGTAGTAGTGATGACGGCTGGCCTTAGATAGATAGGAGGTTCATAAGTGTGGGGGTAGGTACTGAACTCGGAGTCTTTATTATTGAATCTCATGAGTGGTGGTAAGGAGAGACTAGCTGTAGACTAATCGGGGAAGAGCAGATGGATAGAAGGGCATCGTTTCGATTGTTTCGACAAGTTGTTGGGGAATCTGTTGAGTTCTAGTTGATATTGCACTGTATGGAAACTGCAGTAGTTGGTGGCGTATCGGAGCTGTTGACTTGTTCGCTGGGTTGGGAGCAGTATGGGAATATATGTTTGGTTTCCTCAACTGAGCTCGTGTAAGTTTCCGCACCATATTATGAAAAATCGCTCGATTTTGGGTATGAGTATACAAAAATCAACGATAATTTCTCAAAATTTCCTCGAATTTGCATATTCCTAGCAACACATGTAGTTGACCATGTCCATACATTCCCGCACTGGTTGGGATCGTCACAACTGTACTGCAAATTGGATTCGGGATTTTACCATCTCTCGAGAGGCTCAGGCGCATATTGCTGCATTTGAATGTATGGTCTTACGACTTGATGAGTACGGGTTACTGTGAGGAGCCGGTTTTTCGATCTGATTAATGCATGTTGTAATGTTGGTGGTCTTGAAGGGCAGTGGTGACACGATAATATGAAAAGCTCATTTTGTCCGAGGCTCTGGCCAGAAAACATATTGTTAATAGGAGCGACTCCCGATCAGCAATTGTGTCATCATTCGAGACTCTCAACAGTGCAGAGTATTAACACAATTTGCCATTGTAGCGGTGCGACTATGTCGGAGAAATGGATGGTTCGAGATGTTCGGTATCGTGATGTGAAGTATGGACTGTTTTTCAAAGGGTTGTTGTTGTTGTTGTTGTTGATATTATGTCCAACATCTACGTAGCAGAACCCCCTACGAAGGGTAAAGTGGTGCTGCATACGACGCACGGACCGATTTCGATAGCATTGTGGTCTAAGGAGTGCCCGAAGACTACCAGGAACTTCGTTCAGTTGGTGAGTACACGTTGATCGATTTCAGAAGGATAGAGTGTGTATACGTGGGAGAGATGGCAACTCGACTGTAGTTGTTCACTCATGCAAATGAAGTTGAACTCTGAAAATGAGTTCATTGAGCCGTTTTTGTCTGCTTGTTGTCAGGCATTGGAAGACTACTACGACGGAACTGTATTTCATCGGATTATCAAGGACTTCCTCATTCAAGGGGGAGATAGGACCAACACTGGTCTAGGTTGTGACTCGATCTATGGCGAGCCCTATCCGAATGAGTTCCACTCACGGCTGAAGTAGGGCAGTGTGGAGGGACATGAAAATTTCGTTAACCATGAATACAATTTGAAGCTATGTACTACATGTGTTGGTGACAGTTTTGGAAATTCTTGTTAGTTTTGAAGGTTTTCTGAGCACTTCTACCTGAGTTCGTATATGAACTTGATCCTGGGATCAGCTGAGGAAGGCGAGTATAAATTCCATAAACACTGGCTGTTCAAGGTTCCGATATCGTGGCTTGGTCGGTGTTGCGAGTGCAGGAGTTGCGGAAAAAGGGGGCGCGTCTACGAACGGATCGCAGTTCTTCATAACGATGGGCAGAGATGACAGTTTTAATAACAAGTAGGAAAGGATGATGATGGTTGTTGTTGTTGCGACCAGTGTGGGAAAATGCGCACATGGTCAACTACATGTGTTGGTGACGTATGAAATTTCCGAGGAAATGTTGGGGAATTCTTGGTAATTTCTGTACACTTCTACCCGAATTCGTATGTTAATTTCTGCAATTAGTGAAGAAACTCTTCTGAGCTCAGCTGAGAAAAGCGAACATATATTCCTACTCCAACACTATAGGAAACTCCCGAGCTCAGCTGAGGAAAGCGAACATATATTCCTACTCCAACACTATAGGAAACTCCCGAGCTCAGCTGAGGAAAGCGATTACATATATTCCTACTCCAACACTGTATAGGAAACTCCTGAGCTCAGCTGAGGAAAGCGATTACATATATTCCTACTCCAACACCGTATAGGAAACTCCTGAGCTCAGCTGAGGAAAGCGATTACATATATTCCTACTCCAAACTGTATAGGAAGCTCCTGAGCTCAGCTGAGGAAAGCGAGCATATATTCCTCCTCCAAGACTGGCTGTCAGGTACACTTTGTTTGGGAAGGTCGTAGATGATACTGTGTATAATCTGGATAGAATTTCAAACGCAAATGTTGATACGAATGATTATCCGACTGACGAGCCACCTCCACATATTATAAGGGCTGAAGTGGTAATAATAGTGACAACTATGGATCGTATCAGCGGGGGAGAGGGGGAAACGATTTAGCTTTTCTTTGATAGCTGTGATGGGAATGTTTGGTACATGAATGAAAATTTTTCCACGACAAGAACCGAAAAAAATCACCTCTTGCTGTTGGAATGAAAATGATGGCGAGTGAAAACTACAGAATTTTTTCCATGTGTTACGGGTTAGGTTGAGAACCCCTTTACGGACATAGTGCCGAGGGATATCTATAGACGAGTGGTGGATCATGCTGAGGAGGATAGAGATAATAGGAAGAAAGAGAAGATTGAAGTGTCTAATAAGAAGGGTCTGCTGAGCTTTGAAGATGAAGAAAGCAGTAGTAGCGAAAGCGAAGGCGGCGATGATGGTAAGCGGGAGGTCGTGAGTTCGATCCAGGGTGGGGGTATTTTCCTCTGTAGGAAATGAGAAACGTATAGCGGTGAAAGTTAAGAGTGCACATGATGGTGGAGATGCTCAGCTACTCTCCCAAACGGCTAAGTTGGATGAGGCAACTCGAGTGGTTCATAAGGAAGCTTCTTCGAAAGCGGCGGCGGCTCGAAGAGCTAAGATGCTCCAGAAGGTGAGGAGGGATATACTGGAATGGCTATGATGATAATGATAGTGTTCGAATTGACCAGTGTTGGAGAAGGAATATATGGTCGCTTCCCTCAGCTGAGCCCAGGAGAGTCCTCATTAATCATAGAAGTTTACATTTGTACATACTCACATTTATATGTGTTTCAAACTTTTATACATACATTTTGTTTTATTATCGTGAACTTTATAGTTTGTATATACAAATTCTAGGAAATTCCCGAAATTTCCTCCGAATTTTTCCATTGTCATCAACACATGTAGTTGACCATATGTCCTCATCCATTCTAGTTGGATGGGTGGCAGGGTTCGCAAAGACTCACTTGTAATTTTGTAATTGAAGTTTTTATCAGTCACGAGGAGTTCAAGATTTGGATGACAGTGATGACGAGTCAGAAGGCTCTGAGTACGGCGATCGAGAGCGAGCGGAAAGGCTTGGTAGGTGTAGTAGCTATCAGGGAATCATCCAGGAACCTATAATATTCCCCCGGGGGGTAGGGAACTCATTTTGAATCTTCCACGTATGGCTAGGAACACATTCGTCAATCAGTTTCCCATGTGAATGTCATTAGAAAAATTTTCCCCACTGTTATCAAACCCTGGGGGCGTTATTTCTTGGAGCTAAATTGGTCTGTGGTGACTATGGTGAAGGGATGGGATGAGCATTTTAGGAATTCTTCCGAGTGAGGCTAAAGTTATGCGGGAGGAGGAGCTTGAGCGGAAGAAGCAGATAGAAAAGATGCGGCAAAAGATACGGGTAAGGGAATGGGAAAGTGTGTGTGATAGGACTTTGACTTCAGCAAGTGAATCGGGTGGATGACTCAACTAAGAAGGGGGAGGAGGGGCCGAAGGGGATAGCTGATAGAGCTAGGAAGTAGTAGAGGAGGGGGAGATGGTCAGTGAGAACTCGATATCATGTGAACCTGCTCCTACCGAATTATACGTTCCGATGGGATGATAATATTTGTGCATTTATGAGTGTCGCTATGTACATGTCAGTGTGTGTAATGCCATAAGGTATGGTTGCTTCACTCGGGCCTAGTTTTCATGCGTTCGGAGAAAGAGCATAGCTCTATGGGGTTAGGGAAAGTTTGTTTTCCCCCTCTCAATTTTGTTCAGCTGATTGACCTTTTTCGTAGGTATAAACGTCGGGAGAAGCGAGGTAAGAAGGCGTATCAAGAACTGGATGTGTTCATGAACGAGGAAGAGTTGAAATCTCATCATAGGGCAGAAGATGGTGAGTACAGTGTGGTGATTGAGATGGGATATGTACGCCACCCGTTGTAGAGGATGGTGTAGTGGTTGTGGGGGGCAGCGGCTCGTCGTCTACGGCGGCACGGGTGGCGGATGAGGAGGCGATTACGGCCGAGCCGGGAACTTTAGCTGAGACCATGCAGGTGGGGCTCTTTTATGAAGTCCTAGTTTTGTGGTATTTCCGATTCTTATTTGAAGAGTGGAGTTTCAACCTAGCGATATGAAAAACAGTAGTGAAAAACATATTTCATGACTACTGCATATCACCGCGAATATCGCGTTTTTCGCCACTTCACGTAAAACGGGTGAAACTCCAGTATTGGAATATACATATGGTTTTCTCAGCTGAGCTCATGAGTTTTCTCATAGCTCAGGGTAGGAGTATACGGAAACCGATAAGAATTTCTCAGAATTTTCTCAATGTCGTCAACACGTGCAGTTGATTATATGCATTATTTTTTACACTGAATTTGAACTTATATTTTCCATGTAGTTGATCATCGGAGGGATGTTCATCATGTCTTTTCCTTCAGTTTGCTTTTGGTGAGGATACGGGGGCGTTGGGAGTTGATGGAGATGCCTTCGGAGGGACCAATTGGTTGCACAGTCGGGACGGTTCAGCTCAGAACAAGGGACTCAAGTTTGCTATAGATAGCACTAGAGCGTAAGGGGGAGGAGTTGAAACCGAACTCACTTGGTGAAGTCAATATCAGGGTCGGAAAATATGCACATGGTCAACCACATATGTTGGTGACAATATAAATATTCTGGGAGGGAAGTTTAGCAAATTATCATTGGTACTGTAAATCGTATATGAACTTGTATTATTAGTGAGGAAACTTTTCAACGCAGCTGATGAGAGCGAACATGAGTGATATTTATCCCGCCGTTTACCCGCGCTTGTTTGAATTTCATCAGTTTGACATCCTTAGTGGGCAGAAATCACATTGTCAACACTTTTTGAGGCCATCACATGAAAACTGTACTTTGATGAAACAGTCGGATTCTCTTTGTTAGACTTGACCTGACAACTGTAGGATTAAGTAGGCTAGGAGTAAGTACTTACATAAATTGCATATCGTTTTCAAATTCGTGATAGCGTCACGAATTTGAATGTCCAGGATGGAGTTAGGCTTGAGGTTGATAGTGGCAGAAACGAATTAGGTTGGATTTTTCTCACACTGCCTCTTACTACCTAGTCGTTGGGTACAGGTTGGATTGCTGTGGTTGTAGATATCAACTTGACGAGGAACGTGCCCAAAAGGTGTTGGAGGTCTATGACCCTTTGGACCCCAATGCTGGTCTGCCGAAGGAACGTCGAGAAGAGAACAAGTCGAAGAGGCCTCGACGAGAAGATACCAAGCCTGATGATAGGGATGATAATCGCCGTCGAGATGGGCGGCATCATCATCAACATCGTTGACGTGGTTTCTTATAGCGACGGATTAGTGTTGTGTTATGGTGTTCAATGAGGGCGGTGGTTGAAGGACGTAGTTGGTCTGATTTTGAATTCAGACCAACGAACTGCTGAATTAGTGATTCAGCGAGAGCTAATGGATGTTAATGTTAATGTTAATGTGGCCTTATCGGGCAGTTGCTGCTCCCGAAGTAAATGTTGCAGCGAGCCTCTTCATGTGGATCTGCATCATCATGGTGTGGCTTTCATAGTCGGCAACGACCTCACCAGAAAATAATGTTATCATTCCCTCCCGCAGTGACAATGTAACGTAGGAAAGCTTCCCGCTGTTCACCCCTCATATGGGGGATAGGAGCAGCTAGGGCACTCCAAGATATGCCTCAGTACGATCATATTCTCCGGTCGAGCCAACTAGGGCACTCCAAGATATGCCTCAGTACGATCATATTCTCCGGTCGAGCCAACTAGGCCACCCCAGCATATGCTTCGCTGTTTGTAAATTTGCAGTATTGATTTGTCCATTCGACTCGGACGTACCGTATCCCAGCCACTGTATGACCAGAGAAACTCCGCTTCCTGGCATGAAACGCATACGCATTCGCCTCCCGACGCAAGTGCTGGGCACGGATTAGCAACACGCATGCCCTGCGTTCATCGTTCCATGTGGTGATGTGAGACTGAGCTCAACTGGTGGCCTTCAGGTCCTCTTGGCAGCGGAGCGACGTGTGTCTCGTATCCGGAATTTAACTCGGGATAAAGAATTATTCTTGATGCAAGTACATCGAGGTTTTCGGTTCCATGCTTGGCAAGATAATATTCTGCCAGACTCTAACGCCCAGATTCCAGCTCTGTATCCGAGTCTCAAATCTAATGCGGATCTGTCCACTCACTCAACACGACTCGCGAATTCCACTGTAGAGCAATGCCTGATGAGAAAAGCTTTATCGATGAAGATCACCCACGTTACTCGAGCTCAGCGACGTGTATCGACCAACAGTGATAGAGTTGGTGTACACCATGATGAATGAAAACGAGACGATATTCCCACGTCGTCGAGTTTCATAAAATACACTGAGTATTGGGTATACACAGAATTATTGGTAATATGATATAAATAGCACTATTCAGGCTGGAAATCTATAGATATCGCCAAAATCAGCCAGATTACATCCGGGCTATGATCCCTTCTCAACTCGTATTAAAATATGATGAGGCGCCTTTATTGAGAGAAGTTTCTTCTACGGAAAAATAAGGCGGAAGAGGCCGGAGATGAGCTCTCTTAGATTTGTCCCGACAAGAAGGCCTCAAAAGCTGCCTGTATCCCCTTTGGCTGGTTGAGTGCGAAGGAATGCCCTGCCTCGATGACCTGAATGAATGAGCTAGCTTCGAACATTGTAGCCTTAAGGTCAATGATACTTGCTATTATGGTCTGCATCACAAAAACATTAACAGACAGAGCAGGCAACAAGAGATGTGAATTACAATCTGTGATTGTCAGGCTGTTCATAATACACTCCGTTTGAGCTCACCTTAATGAATGCCAGCTTCGCCCCGTTTGTATACTGTGAAAATTTGATCTTTCCCAATACGCCGGACACCTTGTACTGAATATCCAGTAGGCGATGAGTAACACTCCGGAAAAATAGATAGACGATACCTCGATGGTTTTGAACGGAGTTTTCTGCAGAATATCTCCGTAGTTGAACATTCCTTTCAAGGTGACCATCCAATTTAGTGCTCCGATGGCATTAGTGATGTAGTCTTGCTCACCATGGACAACCAACACCTGGTGAAGTGCAGGCAGTGATGATCGGTTCGTTGCCAATCATATTCTACTAGATTTCAAGGAGAGGAGCTAGAGCAGCTAGAGCTGGAGTTCGAGACGCACACATTCGCTGTCTCGTAGCACTTAAAGATGCCGAACAGCACTCTCAATCACCGAGTACCATCGAGGCATTGACCTATGCTCCGGAGATCACTATGCTAAGTGGACTGAATCCACTCGACTCTGAGACTCGGATGGGCCGTTCACAGCGATTTCTAGCCCCGAAATATCTCGTCATGACCGAAGCTTGTTTCGGAGAGCTTCTCACTTTCAGACCTTCATCGAGGAGATGATTGACGAACTCAGTTGTATCATAAGCGCCGTACTTATGGAAGGCTTTCAAAACCTAGTAAAGGCCATATATCCTTATCCACACACCAAATTGAGACCTACTGCAATATTCGTGTCGCTCCATTTTTTCGTGACACCTAACTGCGCCTTAACTTCTGGCTTGTTGAAGAACTTCGCGACCTAGAGTTGAAAACAATTTGATATCCCGCTGCAGTCGGGTCTCGATAGTTTCGGCCAGTGACTTTAAAAAACGTATGTCGTAAATTATGACATGTAGTCGCCTCATGAGTTAGCACTGTTGGTCGAGATATTAGTAGTGATCTAACCACGGTTGTTATCTCTTACATCTCCAACACGTAGTTTGTAATATTTTTTCTCGTTTCCTGGGGTTGCACGCACATCGTACCTGAGGACATTGGCTCAACTGTCGAAATAGAGGAATGGAAAGCCGAGATAACGTTAACAGACACAGAGTGTTAGACGGGGTTTGAGCGATATAGGCAATTCGCTCTCCATTTTGCTTACACACTCTTCCCACTCTCGATAACGGGCTTGAGAAGGGCTTTTTCGCAATATTCCACAGCTTTCTTGCACATGACTGAGCGACACATTACAGTGAAACGCGCTATCGACGCAATGCCAGATCGGCACTGCCCGAAGGAAAAGAGACACTAGGTATTGATCGTCAAGTACTGCCCTACGGTCTTGCGGAGCATATCCGACATTGCACTCAGAAATCCAATGTTCACACTCCCCCAAGTCTTTAGTAATCTCTGCAACTCTGAAGAGAAACATCAATAGCAAGTTGCTAAAGCAGTTCATCGAACTTCCCCGGCGGTAGAAGGCTTTTCGCCATTGTTACACATCCTCTAGCACTGAAAACACAAACACCTGTCCCATTCACAGCAACGATTCACCTACATAGCCCCGGGACCTATAATAGGAGAGCTTAGCATAACGCCCTTAAAGTCAATCCTGAGCTTATGACGAACTATAGCAGAACCCAGCATGGCAGCGATGGAACCTGAAAACGCGATTGTACATCTTGGTGCACCCGAGTCGGTGGCGAACATCAGAACGCATAACGAGTCTTCGTACCAGCAGCAGAGAGACCGACTATGTGCACCTTCGTGTTGAAGTTTGGATGGTCCTTGAAGAACTGCGACACGAATTTTTCCCTGCAAGGAATCACGATTGATCATCGTCGAGAAATTCTCAAGGTTCGTTCGCGGTCTATGTGTTATTCGGCCCTGGAAAGTAGAACGCGGCACTTGGAACTCGCCATGGAGGAGCTTCGGGACATTCTCGCTCGGAATGAGTTGCCTGAGGCCGCCCCCACGAAGAGTAACTCACATATAATTCACCACCGTGTTCAGGTCTGGTTCAACTGGTCCTTCACTGAAGCCGGAAGGTCCCGGGGCATCGACCCAAATGCTGTTGGCTTTCTGCGTCCATGAATATCTGGGAGAATTATGATAAGCGAATGATCGAGGATGATAAGAATGGTCCAGTTCCTTACGGGCTCAGCTCAGGCTTGCCTGTCACAGGAGAAAGAAAGCATGGCCCCTCTGCCATTGCCAGTCCGACGCTACTCCCACCCAGACCTCCTTGGAGAAGCAGAAAGGTGGGTGCTGTTTTTGGGTCTTCCTCAGCTTCCACGGCCGCAAAAAAATATCTGAACAGAGCCGCCGTGATGGACATCGTTTCCACACAAGGATCCTACTTGTTCTCCTTACTCACTTGTATGTACCCGTATTCTTGACTACCCTTACTAAAAGGGCACAGCACATTCGCGCTCCTGCTCACTCCCAGTATGACCAATATTGATATCATAATTTTATTCATACCTGTAGGACGGTTACTACGTAAATTGCAACTAAAAACATTCCTAGCGGATGCGGAGCCCTGATTCGGAATCAATGCAGCTAATGACCGATTGTTGATACACTACTGGGCTCAGGTGTATAGGATAACACGCGTGCTCTGATATTTCCAGGTGATAGCATTCAAGTGCTTGATACACTCAGTGTGTCGAGGGAAAATCCAAGACAGTCCGCTGCGTGAATGTACGTGCGTGCAAGTCAAGCCACGTCACCCTTGTGTTCATCGAATCAAATTGGTGTCCAGCACTATGGTGCTGGGTGTCTTTGAAATGTCGTCGACCCTCCCAGCCCATGGCCGATCGATTCGCGACTCGAGCTCTTCTCCCCATTGTTACGCGAGGTCGCGGATGGGAGCCTGAGATTTACCTATTCGACACTGCGTGCTACGCACGTGTAACTAACTACCGCTGGACTTCAGGGATTCACCATTCAATTGTCCATGTGAGATTGAGTTTGGGATTAAACCAGAGGATGAAGCCGAGCCGATGGAGGTCAATGGCTGAGGTGGTTGGTAAGCACATCCAACGTAAATAACTTTACCACTACAATTACTGGTATCTTACAGCGAACTTGTCGTTTCGACGTCTTGGTAGGGATTAGTCTTGTGTTGTGGGGATGTGTGAGTGGTAGTGCCTGGGATGGTCCCATGGCCTGTAAGTATACGTACATTGTACGTCGTACAAGCCTTTGCCCGTTGTGCAGCTCGACGTTGTAGCCGGTGTGACGTGAAAGAAAGAATACTTCTCAACTTTTGGCCTGGTTTTACCTACGGAGTCGATCCGTTCACATGTGCAGGCCAACTTGCGCACAACACTTCACGCACAAATCACAGCAACCTGACGATGTGGCCATCCTTCCCAGATGACTCGGCGACAAGAAAAGCGAGGGAGGCAGAAATAACTGATGATACTAGCAAATAAACATGCCATCTATGGATGAATAAAAAGGGTACATGAGGAGCACAAGGAGACATTGATGTACACGATAATCGTGACACGATGCGACGAGGTTAGGAAATAAGGAAGACCCGAACACTTAGGGTCGCAGATCGGCCTTAGCCTGAATGTGAGGGGCAGTAGACGGACGTACCGAGATGCGTATGGTGATGGGGGAAGAAGGAGACTGACGGGTACAAAACAATCCTTCGATAAGGAAGAGGTGCAAGACAGTCGAGGATCTCCGATTTATGGATCTAGACGGGAATGTTCTATTCTCCTCCTGAGGAGTGAACATCAGAATTGAGGATAGGAAAAGTGCATGCAGGACCAGGGCGACCGTTGCAAGCGTACGCATGCAGAAGTGGTGGAGTTCTCACCGTTAAGTTATTGAATACGATAATCAGCCAAAGTTGGCAGGACGCGGTTCAACCACGGCTAGGTTGTGGTTGTCGATTGTGATGTGGTAGGTGCATACTCTGCAAGAGAGGAAGGAATCGCGGAGCGTAATTGAGTTGTAGTCCATGCGAGGGGTGGCAGGGAAATAGAGTCACATTAACCTCAATTCTCTGGAATAATACAACAGATGTTTTAACGGAGTTTCCTCTAATTCATCGACTCTCGATACACCTCCGATCGGCTGTGAGACCAACACGGCACATACGAACAGTGACGATGTCTGACGACAATTCTAAGGTGAGGCTTCTATCTATCCTGTACGCGCGTATTATAATTCAGATATCGCACATGACGAATGTTGAAGTTGCCAGACGAATGAGAGCGGCGAGAGACAAGTTCGATTCGGAGGTGTCATCAAAAATGGACAATCCGGAAACCTTCCTAAGGGAGGTATCATCCCCCGGCCATGTCTGAAGGCTGACTCGCTTCCTCAGCTTGAGCGACCTTGCAAGCCTGATACCAACATAGACTGTCGGCAATTAGCCGACCGCATTACAGTAGCTACGAGTTCTCTGAGCTGGCCCTGACGGCAGCTAGAGCACCGCGTACTGGTGGAGCGGCTGAGGAAGTCCTTCGGATGGTACTAGACGAAGTTATCAACCGCCGGGAGCCAGTAAATTGCCGTGGGAAACGTGAGTGGACATGAAGACGGTAGCGGAGAGGATTGGGAGATTTGCAGTTGGTCGGAATACATTATGTACTGTACATATGATCTGATCACTCGGTGGGGACTTTTCCGAAAACGTACCACTCAGCCAAGGGTGGACCATGGTCACCTTGAAAAACCTCACTGCGGGGTTTTGCTCTCCTAGAGGACTACGAGTGATGGCGGAGAAGTCCCTCGGTGGGGAACTCATTGCCGAGTGTGTTGGCGATCGAGTGGTAGGAGCTGTCAGGAAATCAGTCCAAGATCCTATAGCTGGAGAGATGTTAGCTGCCGAGGCCGCCGTGGAGCTCTGAGGACGTGACGTGAATGATTCTCATGTTTCACTTTGTTTCGTATCACACCAGCTGCCTCAAATTAGATGGAAACCGAGTACGATGCGTATAATCCGCTCGCGGTTAATTGGTTAGTCACAGAGAAATTTGAAGCTCGAGATCAGTGCTGCGCAACGCGCTGAGATTGTGCATTGCGTTCGGCACTCGAGCAAAGCTCTACTAAATGCGTCCCTCGCAGTGTAATCCCCTTGCCCTCGGAATCTCAACCAGGGTCAAGTTCCGAATTACTTGTGCTTGTAACTCGTACTTGTAAATCACTTTGATACAACTTTTTCATCCGAGCTTGGATTGGTCCCTTTTTCGACCACTTGGGCTCGGAAAGACCCTGCTCGGTAGTAAACAACAGGCAGACTGTCTGCCTGTTGTTTACTCCCAGGGACAACTGCCGCAGACATTCAACTTCGGTGAGGTTGCCACATCGGTCACTTCTTCTTCGCTGGGATTGGTTGATACACGTGATTAACTCTCCGTGCAATGCACGAAGGCTCTCGAAGAGCGTGAGAAGTCTCACGCTGGACTCTCTCACGCGGAACTTGGGAATGCAATGCTTTAAAGCAAATTGCAATGATGTCCGAGTCTACCTCTAATATGCAGTTGAAGATAACTCCTGCGTCCCTAACGGGTTCTACGTTGACTGTCGTCAACTTGACGACGTCAAGATCGAGGCTTGATTAAAGAAGTCTGCTCATTGGCAGACGCATGAAAGAAATGATATGAACAAAGGTTTGCAACCACGCCCTCCATCCTTTGCGTTAGCAGTAGCTCCGAGGCGGTCAGCATTAAGGAGGAGACATCGCTCTCTGATCGCGTTGACTTGAATGTGGCGTCTTATCCACGGTCTACTGATCCGAGACCCGCTTGGGGCCTTCAATTCTAGAGTCATGAATGACGACAGTCTCATATTGATTTCAGTTATGACCTCGAAGTTCGAGGCTCAAACAGCTTGGCAAGCTCAGCTTGCCCAGAAGATGCTGCGTCAGCATCAGACCACCAGCATCAGGTACCAGAGGTACCATCAGGACTCGCTCAAGTCGCCGCCATCCTGTTAGAATTCCTTCCAACAGGCTCGAAAGAAAAAGCTTTCGTGAGCCCTTTGAAGTGGCACGTGAATCTGGAACTATGTACCGCATCGATGAGTACACTATGTGTGCCCTCTCAAGCTGGTGCTCGTCGACTCGCTCGCGAATCTGTGAACTGGTCATCTGCCGTCCTAGCTCTCTTGAATGCTACTTCTTGTATGCAAGCGTTCTAGAAGTTATTGTTATGTGAAACTACGAGCTGAACGCAGCCGATTGGGCGCCGATTAGCCATTCAGAGCTACGGTTTTACTCGGCGTATTGGTTCTCTTCTCGGTATCGAATTTCCATGCTGCTTAATAGGGAATCGGTAATCTCGCGGTTGATGGCAAATCATTCTCGTCTGCTACGACCGGGGGAGGTGCTACTGGGGTAAAGTGGTTTCGGGTCTCGTGCTACAGACAACTCAGCATCAAACTCGGCTATCACCCCCATCGATCTTTCCACCTTGTCTACTCTGTTGCATACTTCTATGCAACTCTCAAGTCCCGACGACGACACTTTATCATCAACTCCCACTGAACCAGTCAATTCCAATCAAATCTTCATCATCACTCACACACCCCTCAGTAATA